GTCCAATACCTTTAGTTCGTCATATTTACCCGACAAAAGTTCCCATACCACCCGCGTAGTGTCTTCACACACCGTGGTTAGTAAAAGCGGTTCCAGCTCATTTGCCGTTCGCGTAGAAGAACTCCTTATAACTTTTCTACATTTCTTTTTAGTCTCGATCTCGGTCATGGCGAACCCGGTTCTAAACCACCAACGCGTTTCCAATATATTTTAAAACAACGTGAAACGTGCGGTAAAAGCTCGCTTGCTTATTTTTCCCGACGATCCGAATACTTAAAAGTTTCAAAATCCCTAAAAAACCAGTGAAAGTCCTGTCACGGTCGCCAATAATGTCGCGCTCACAAAAGGCTACCCGCTATTTGCGCTACGACGGTTCTATTTCCAAAGAAACTGGTTCCGGACTTTTCCAATACTGATCAATTTATTTTAAACATATTTGGTTCGTTACAACTTACAACTTGTCTTTTTTGTTAAATCAAACTGAAACTTCTCTAAACTGTCAAGAGTCACCAAAACGGAGACTTTTTTTACCTGCCCTCTTAACAATAGTTTCCATAGTTTCCGACATTGGTAATAAGCTGATGGGCCTGTAGGACGTGAGCAGTTTCCTTTCTGAGCCTTTCTTCGGAACCAATACCACAATTGACTTTTTGCAGATGCTCGGGAAGTATTGGAGGTCCAAGATTGCATTGGCCACTGTGGTTAGGTCCTCAATTGCTGTTTTCGGTAGCTTTTTGAAGACCTCATTTGAGATTTCGTCATGTCCAGGGGCTTTTCTCCTCTTCGTCCCCTGGATGATCTCAATTGTCTCATTTGATTTGGGCTTTGATAGCCCTCGCCGTCTGAGGAGTCCGTCACCCGGCCCCTGACCTCCTTGGAGGCAATTAAGAGAACTGCCGGCTCAGCGAGCCCCTCAACGGCCTCACTATCACTGGAGGAGGCTGTGCCCTCCTCCATTTCTTCCACCGCAGCCACATCCGGCACTCCGAAGTTCTTGGCGGCTAGCAGCGTTTCCGCTTTCACCGCCCGGTCCATTTCCAGCAACGTGGACTCCAATTTGGCCTCTAGCGCCTCAAAGCGCCTCAGCACCTCCTCTGCTAGGACTGTTTTGGACCCCTCCTAGTCCTGCAACACACACAACCACAAAAAACTTTAATAGTTTTAGCACTAGCTGTAGAAACGTGCTGAAAAGCACACTAATATCAGCGTAACACAAAAACGTCGAATGGTAAACCCTAGTAAACAGTTTTCACTTGGAATTTACAACACTGTAGCTCTGCAAAGGGCAAAGCGTAACACGATGTTGATGGATCAAAGTATGAACTCTCTCTGATGGTAGGGGGAGAGTCAAATCGCTTAATTCAAAGAAACCTGTAACTCCGAAACGGCTTGACCAATTTCAAAGTTTTTACTATCCATTGAAAGAGCAATAAAAACTCTACAATATGTGATATAAAACAATATTAAGCATTTTCGAAAACATTTCTTTGTTTTATTTTTTCACAAAAATTTCAAATGCTACCATCCGGTTATTTTACATGCAGTCGAAAGCACAGGAAAAAAAGAACCAAACCGCCAAAACCGCATCTCAAAATAATTTCTGGAACCGATTTAATACTTGAAAATAATGAGGGTTGCCTAATTCAAATAATTAAAGTAGGCTTTAAAAGAAGATATAGAACAAATGATATTTTACATTATTTGATATTTTGTATTATTATTTGTCAGTAAGTTACACTCTAAAATTAATTTTACTACGGGACACAGATGATACGATGCTACGATGCTACGAAAATATTTCTATTGGTGGGAGATCTGACAATTCGTCTGTTGTACGAACTGACAGATTTCCAACCAATAGAAACACTTTCGTACCATCGTATAGACCTTTAAATATAAAACTAAGTTAGTTTATAAAACTTAGTTTTATATTCAAAGGTATAAACGGATGCATGGGACACGGGCTATACATGAACCACAGTGCGGCCAAATCTCCCGCGTCATCGTCTATTGGCAAATGTTTTGGTTTTCCGGAATCTCCCCAACGCAACAAAAGCTTAAAAGAAAGGAAAAAAGCTGCTCAATAACGAATATGAAGTTTGTGGGTCCATAATAAGGAAGATATCGTCCGTCGAAGATTGCGACCGCTCAAAATAGACAGAAAATGTTGATTAGTTGGGAACTGCAAAGGTCGGGGTGTTTTTTAAATAGCTCGTTGAATTCCTTGTTTCCGATAAAAATGATGTAGAATTCAAGGTATTTTGAGAAACATGAATGTTTTAAAAACCGATCTCTTGGTCTTCCATTATATAAAATTTTTGACTAAAAACCAAAATTTTGCAACCGTGGTTTTTTCCTTTATTGGATTGTTTCCCACATACTTTCAAAACGCTAAACCGCTCAGCGCTCGGAGTATTTTACTGCTCAAACCAAAACCGCGTTTTAGACTTGAGATCTCAAGCAATTCCAATAGAAATCGCTTGTGGTAAACTTCAATGAGTGAAAAGTGATCTGAAACCGCATTTCCGCTTAAAAAACTCTAAGGGAAGTTGCTAATACAAATATTATCTGTAAGGTGAGCACACTTTTAACGGGGAAATCCAAGAACTTATGCCATTTAAAATTGTCAAGCTCTGCATTGTGTGCCTCTTTTACAACGCAAGAAAAATTGGTTTCAAAATAAAATGGTAAACAAATTCTTACTCTCAAAACGATGAACCAAATTAGCAGCAGCAGGATTATTTCACTGTTCACACTCAAAAATCGCAGTTTGTTTGAAAAACTGATCTCACTTACTCAAATTAACGACTTTTCTGCCAAATTTTACCGATCCTCAATAAATATTGAAGTAAGAACAGTTGACACTTTACTGGATTTTCTCAATGATTTTTTAACTAAACTTGATTTAAATATACAAAATAAATATGTTCCAAATGTACTTAATTAAAATCGTTGGTTGAATAAAAAAAGTGCATCCTTTTCGTCGCCCGGGGAATCACATTCCTTACTGATAACTGACAACGTTGTGTAAAGGGCTGTGTTATTAGTAAATTTAAAGACTAGTAGCAAAATTCAACAAAAATCCCTTAAAGAGCTGCCAATTATATTAATTGAAAATTAAGTGCAGCAAATTCCTGACCAAGCTAAACTAAATTACGTTAAAATTACCCCAAAATACATTAGTTGGACCGTAATCAATTTTTTTCTAGGTTAGTTTTGCGATTTTTTTTCAACAGTCAACCATCTAAAAATATCTCTGATTTTGTAGGAGCTCAGCTGGATATTTATCTAGGAAAAAATGTCCAACATTCTGGGCTCCGAATGGTAAGCTAATCGCTTAATACACTAAATTACATTTATCATAAAAATATTCGCATTTTAGGAGCCTCTCGCCCGATGGAATAAACGCTGTAACAGAGAATGGGGCCATTTCCGACCAAAAACTCATCCTCAAAAGAGCCCTAGACGTACGTGACTAAGTCTGGTTAAAGAAACAGATAATAAACTTTTGCTATTGCAGTGTGATCTCAAATCGATTGGAAAGCCTGCTCTAGCTAAAGAGTTGGCCAAATCCGAAGTGAAACAATTAGTACTGCAAATACAGAAAATCAGAAACATTTCAGCGCCCAAAGCCAAAGAGGGCTCACAAGCAGCCCCTCGAATGTTGAAAATTACCCTAACAGATGGTGAATCTTATATACAAGCCATTGAGATGGCCCCAATCGGTGCCATTAGCAGGGAAAATACAGCGCCCGGCACCAAAGTGCTTGTCAAGGGGGCGAAGATC